ACTTTACCATGTGTATTCCTTAACGATTCCTTATTTCAAGAGTTGCTCTGATAGTAACAATGGTGGATCGAAGGGGACCTTGGATGTTCTTTGACCACCATGTGGTAGTTGCAGTTTGGACACTGGAGTTTATTGCTCCCACTGCTAAGGTGGATTGCACCATTGTAAGATTCCCAATTTTGAACTTGTTTATTATAATTAAAGCTTCCTCCTTGGATTAGCTTCTTGTGTTGGAAGACCGGTTAAAATCGATACTAATGCTTTAAGAGTAGATAAAGGAATGTATGTCATATCTTGTGTGGAGATTGACCTTACTAATCTACTAGCGGAAAGATATGTTTTTTAAGGTCATCCACTCATTCATATAAGGTGATGTATGAAGGCTTATATATGATCTACAAATCATGTGAGGGGTTTAAAATCCATTATTTGCTCCATGTTCATCAAATTCACAAACATTAAATGAGCATATTAACAACCAATCAATAATTTTAGATATCCTAGAGAATTATGGTGATTGGCTAGTTGTTACAAGCAAGGTTGTTAGGATCGGACCGGACGATCCGACCAGTCCGACCATTAGTCGGAAGTAGAGATGGTCTTGTACCACCCTACAAACTGAGAGCTCTTGTAGGTCGTGTTAAATCCGATCTAACAGGGTTCGACCTGTAGAACATGGAATAACCCAGTTGGTTAAACAAGTCGGTCTAATTTAAATTAAAAAATAATCCTAAAATAGTAAACACGCAAAAGGGTCACAAACTCCCGACTCATACGGAACTTGAAGAAAACCTAGCCTTCAGACGAACCACTACCAAGCCTAATAGTTTGTGTAATGTTGTATACAAACTAATAGTTTGTGTAATGTTGACCTCTATTGAATGCACTCATTGATCCTCTTCAGAGTAGTTTCCTCACTAAGCCAGGGACATCAGATAACGCCATCATTCTTTAGGAAAACCTTCATCACATGGGTAAATCTAAAATGAAAATGGAAATATTGCAATTAAAATTGATATGGAGAAAGCTTTTGACAATGATGATTGGGATTTTCTAGAATCTTGCTTGTTAGATTTTGGGTTTCCACAGAAAATGATCAACCTCATAATGTTTTGTCTCACCACTTCCTCTTTATCAATCCTCTAGAATGGTAGTTAACTAAACAATTTGTATCCTAATAAAGGGATTAGACAAGGAGATATACTCTCACCCTATCTTTTTATTCTATGCAGGGAGAAGCTTTCCCTTGCTAACACAAAAGAATTCCGAGTGAAAAATTGGTTGCCAGTCATGGTCTCTAAAAGTGGTCCTAGCATTTCCCACCTTCTATTTTGAAAGGTGAAATGCTCCCATGTTCTTATCATCTCCAATCATTTTGATAGGTTCAACCGAGATTTGAGTCTCAATGTTAATATCTCTAAATCTAAAGCCATTTGTTCAGAAGGAGTCACTAATGTTAAGAAGACAAAATCCACAACAATCACTTCCATAATGTTAACATATGATCCAGGGAAGTACCTTGGATTTGATTTCCTATGTTACAATGGGGAGAGAGTATTGGAAATTATAGAGCAAGAAGAGAATGTCGAAAAATAACTCATTCTCATTGATTTGAAAATGTAAAGCCAATATGGCTTATTTATACAAAATGAAATGACTTGTAATCCAAACAAAAGTGGATGTTGCAAAGTTAACAAACTATCTTTAACTCCTAACTACATAACCACATAATCATCTTCTACAAAAAAACTCTAAAATATCTTTAATAGCCCCCTCAAGCTACTGAGAGAAAGTTTTTTCTTCTTAACTCCCAACTTGGAATCTTGATTTGAAGCAATAACAACACTTAACCACCTATGACAGAAGCTATATCATCAAACGCTTAACCACCCATGACAGAAGCTATATCATCAAACGCTTAACCATCAATAGCAGAGGCTATATCTCAGCTTAACCACCATAGACAGAAGCTAACCATCAAATGCTTAACCATCAATGGCAGAAACTATATCTAAGTTTCATTGATGTAAAATACACACAATAATGATGTTGTGTGTGTAAGAGGGGTAAAAAGTAGACTACGAATGAAACATAAGTAATTGATGGCAGGCAAGAAAAGAATATATATAGTGATATCTGAATATATCATCTTACTCTTGAGTCCAAGACACAATATGTCTCTCTTTCTTAAATTCTTCATTGCATTGCTGCTTCTGTTCCATATCTTGCATGGTTTTTGTCTTTGAGAGTGTTTATTCTAAAGATTCTTGGACACTCTTTCCTTTTGCAAAGCCAGCTAAAACCTTAATAATGTGAAAAGCTTTATGATTCCTTTAAAGAAAAATGGCCTCAAATGCCAATACTTTTGACCAACCCTCCTTGGATCTCAAATCAGTGAACAAAACCCAATGCTTAACATGTTAGAAATCTGGAAAAGAGAACCACCACAAGAATGAAGAAGAGGACCTGGCTTGTTGGTATTAATGCGACTAACAATTTCATGGACCTGGCTTTTTGGCAGAGTAATCTTTCTGCCTTTAAATCTTTCTTGTATTTCTTTGGCGTGCTCCTGTGAATTTCAAAAGATGGAAATGGGGTGGAGAAAGAAGAGGATGATGGTTGGTGGTGAAGAGTACAAAAGTTGAGCGATGAATGTGAATTATGATTCTTTGTTGAATCTTGAATGAAGAAAGGATAAGCGAAAGCCCTAGAAGAAATAATTATTGCTCTAATACCATATCGGAAATTATAGAGCAAGAAGAGAATATGGAAAAAATAACTCATTCTCATTTATTGAAAATGTAAAGCCAATATGGCTTATTTATATAAAATGAAATGGCTTGTAATCCAAACAAAAGTGGATGATGCAAAGTTAACAAACTATATTTAACTCCTAACTACCTAATCACCTAATCATATTCTACAAGAAAAAAAACTCTAAAATATCTTTAATAGATAGGAATGAGCATTTTAATTTCATCATTGAAAAGATGCATAAAAGACTTGCTTCATGGAAAGTAAATGTCCTCTAGCTAAGTCTGTTTTTGTCTTCCATCTTGACTCATTACATTCAAATTGCATTGATTCCTCAATCAATTTGCTAAAAGATCCAAAGTTGCATTCAGTACTTTATATGGGGCTCTACATGTCGGAGAGACATGCATCTAGTAGGTTGGAGAAAATTTTCAAAAGCTAAGCTAATGGTGGTTTGGGGGTGAAAATTTCTAGATTTAGTAACACTTCCATTTTGGGGAAATTGGCCTAGTGCTTCCTTCAAAGTAGAGAGAAGCTCTGAGTCCAATTCTTGTTGTCGAAGTATTTTGGGGAAATTGGCCTAATGCAAAAAGAAAACTGGCTCACAAATTTAGAATTCAATTCAGAAAATAGTGTTATCTCTCAACTATGGCTTCAAAATGATCGTTCGTGAAGGAAGTCTGTCCTTTTTGTGAAGATGATGTTGCTCATGACCTTGACGCAATTTTGATGTAGACACCAACATCACCTAATTGAAGTAAAAGGATGAAGACCTTGAAGACCTTGAAGACTAAGAAGAAAAGCTACTCAAGTTCAAGATCTATTAAAGTATTCTAAGTTAGGTACTTCTATCCCTAAGTCTCTTTAATAAGTTAATCCAAATGCTCAATAAAAAAAATTGAAAATTATTTTAACTTGGAATTAAAATGAATTAAATTTTCAAAAAGCTAACTAACAGGTTACTTGACATTAGTATTAGGTTACTGGTACCAAGTAATGGATTATTGGAACCAAGTAATGGATTACTGGAACCAAGTAATAGGTTACTGGAACTGAGTAACTGATTACCTAAATTGAGTAACAAGTTAAGAATCAATTTCTACAGAGAGTAAGCGATTACTCATGGGAGTAAGCGATTACTCATGGGAGTAAGCGATTACTCATTTGGGAAGAAACTTTGGGTAATCGGTTACCCATGGAAGTAATCGATTGTTGAAAGCTGTCACACCATATTTTCAAATCAAAATTGAAACAAATTCACCCAAAATGAAAGGATGTCATTCCAATCGAATTCTACCTTCATATATAGGTATGGTGGGTAGTTGGAAGCCTATTTAAAGACACTTAGACATTCATATTCGTTCATAATTTTCACAACACTTTTACATAACAATCACTTAACATTTTCATACACTCTTGAAAGCAACTTCAGAAAAACTTTCTGTTTTTTTTAAAGTTGTTGTCAAATGTTCTAAGTTTTATACATTGAAAATACTTGAGCATTTGTGTTATTCTTGGTGAGTGACTTTAAGGAAAATTCTCAAACAATCCAGAATTAAGATGTGAGATGCAAGGTTTTGTAAACTTGATTTGACAATGAAATCTTGAAATACTTCTCTAAAGATTCATGAAGTATTCTCTTATCTCTCTTTGTGTATCAAAATATTTTTCTCTCTTTTTCATAAACATTTTGGAAAATCTATCCTTCGTTATGAAAATGAAAATCAATCAAAATTTTGTGTTATGAAAAATTAGATGCAAAAATGGAAAAGTTGTTTTAAAATAAAGTTTTGATTTCTAGTGTAGTTAATTGATTATCAGTTTACTTAATCGATTAACGATTCTTCAAAAATCAAGATTTCAGAAAACTGTAACTTCCATTAATTGATTAACCCTTAACTTAATTGATTAATGAGTTCCTAGTTAGCACAACATAATCAATTAACTAAATCTTAATCGATTAAGGTTTTCTGAAAAAGCTAATTTATTGTGATATGAACCTCCTACATGATTTGTAAAAGTATGATGTATGATTTTGAAAGCTGTACCAAAATCATATGAACATGTATTTATGCATGTGTATGTAAATCAAGTAGTATGCATGTAAATCTTATTTTAGTTATGATCATATTTTAGGTTGTGAGACTTTCACTAAGCTTTGTTTTTGTATTGTTTGTGTATACATAAATTAATTTCCATTGGCTCAAAATTCTTATTTATTTTTGCTCCCTCTGAGGTGGAATGTTCCCCTACCGATAAATTTTTACATCCCACAACTTTGGTAGATCGTTTAGTCCTGTTCATCTTCGGCACAAGAGCGCTCAAAAGTGAGATATTACACACTGTTTCTAGGGTGGCTGCTTCTAGGTAAACCTTTTGGCTGTCTCTGCACTCGTACCTCATTTATCACCGAGCTATCATTTAGGGGCCTTAGCTGGTGGTCTGGGCTACTTCCCTCTTGACGATGAAACTTATGATAAGTTTAGTTCATTATGTAATTTACCAAAGTGTTTAGACCATTTATTTGAAAAAGAAGTTTGGTTTAGACTGAAATATTGTGAAATTATTTTGACCTGGTGATAAGCCTAGACATAAGCCTGAATTGAAGCACGTGTACAAAAGAGGCAAAAGGAAAGCTTGGATTGGTTAATTAACTAACCAACTGAGTTTCCCTATCTTTCTTGTTAGTTAGTTAGGCAGTTATCAGTTAGTTGCAGTCTTTAAATAGAAGGAAAGACTTGTATGAAGGGTAACTAAGAACATTGTAAACTGATTGTGGTAACCAATATGGGAATTGGATCGTGGGATCCCTTTCTAGTATCTCTCTTGTAATTCTCTCTATTTTCTTACTCAATAATACAATTCCATTAGAGCCCAACCAAGAACTCTTCTATTTTGGCCTGGGACATTTCTTTTCATTCTCTATTCTGTAATACTAGTGTCTAACACTGGTATCAGAGCACCATCCTGGTGCCTGCTGGACACAAAAACCCACCACCCACAAGTGTTGCTGATCTTATATGGTCTCAACTAGAAGCATGGCTAGAGAAAATGAAAGCTGGAATCAAGAAAGTGAAGAAATTCGTATGAGGCTAGAACTGAATGAAGCAAAAACCAAAAGAACTGAGGATTTTTTAGCTGCCATAGACTCAAAGCTGGGAGTTACACAATTTGAGGGGACCAATAAGAATGGGGAGGAAGTGGAGAGTCACAAAGATTTACAGACCCATGATAAGTGGAGAAGGTTGGAAATCCCTATCTTTATGGGGGATGATGCATATGGCTGGATCCAAAAGGTAGAAAGATACTTCACCATGAGAGGAGTTTCTGGAACAGAAAAGGTGAAGGCTACCTTGGTGGCTTTGGATGGAAGAGCACTCAGCTGGTGGGAAGGATGCAACCCCTCCCCTACTTGGGAGAGTTTCAAGATAGCTGTGGTAAGAAGGTTTCAACCCTCTATGATTCAAAATCCTTTTGAATTATTGCTGGCTCTAACACAAGAAGGGAGTGTGGAGATTTATGTTGACGAGTTTGAAAAGTTTGCTAGAGCATTGAAGGAACCCAACCAGGAGTTTGTTAGGGGTGTTTTCCTCAATGGGCTAAAGGATGAAATCAAAGCAGAAGTCAGACTCTATGAACTGGAATCTTTACAAGAAGTGATCCATAAAGCTATTCTCATAGAGCAGATGAACTTGTTGGTATAAAAGAAGCCTGTAGTGAGCTGTGCAAGGAACCCAAGCACTTTCAGAAGTACTGCTTATAACAGGGTAGTGACATTAGACCTTTCTTCATGCAGCAATAACAAGAAGGAAGGATCTTCCATAGGTAGGGGGGATCCCAAAGGGGCAAGACAATGAGGCAAGATCTGGAGGGGATTTCAGAAGATTGACAAGTGCTGAATTAAGGGAAAAAAGGGAAAAGAGTCTCTGTTTCAAATGTGATGATCCTTTTTCTAGAGAGCATAGGTGCAAGAATAGGCAATTAAAGATGTTGCTCATGGCTGATGATGATGAGCTGCAAGAAGAAAAGATAGATGAGGAGGAGATCCAACCATTCAATTCACTACAGTTAACACTTTACTCTATGAAGGGGTTCACTTCCACCAAATATTGGAAGATAGAAGGTACCTTGGGCAAGAAACCAGTAATTGTCATGATAGATTGTGGAGCTTCACACAACTTTATCTCTAAAGAGTTGGTAGACAGTTTGCAGCTACAAGTGGAGAAGACTAAGACTTATATAGTGGAGGTTGGGGATGGTCATCACATCAAGTGTCAAGGCAAGTGTGGCAATCTTAAACTGTTTGTGCAACAACTGGAGATCATTCATGATTTCTATTTGTTTGCTTTGAAGGGTGTGGATATGGTGCTTGGCTTCGAATGGTTAGCAAGTCTTGGTGAGGTCAAGGCTGATTTTGGCATAATGAGACTAACTCTCAAGCAGAATGGGACACTTATGACTATTGAAGGCAATCCAGCCCTCACTAGAACTGAGTTACCCCTAATAGTTTTCATGCAAGTGTTGATGGAGGAAGGTGAAGGAATGCTACTTCACTATATTGATGCTGTTAAGAAGGAATGCACTATGCCAAGGGAATTTGAGGGGGTTCTACAATAGTATCAAGTAGTTTTCCAAGATATGTCAGGGCTGCCTCCCAAAAGATCTCAGGACCATGCTATTCACTTAAAGGAAGGGGTTGGGATACCTAATCTCAGGCCATATAGATGTCACTACTACCAGAAAGTAGAGGTGGAAAGGTTGGTAAGGGAGATGCTGGAGGCTGGGGTTATTAAGCATAGTATCAGTCCTTACTCCAGCCCCATTATACTAGTCAAAAAGAAATATGGAGGGTGGAAATTTTGTGTTGATTATAGGGTTAACACCCTAAATTTTAAGTCTTTAAAATTATAGTATCAGTCCTGGGATCCTCGCTGAGTGAGAGATTCTCGCTTGGGCGAGAGATTCTCGCTTGGGCGAGAAAGGTTCACCTAGGAGGGTGAAATCCTGTACTATACTGGAGGATCCTCGCTTGAGCGAGAGTTGTCTCGCCTGGGCGAGAAATGGCATTTTGGGACTGTTGAGACTGTGAGATTCTCGCTTGAGCGAGAGGGTCATATCTGAGTTTTTAAAATGGGCGGGATTTTCTCGCTTGAGCGAGAACCCGACGAGAGCATTAAATGGGAGAAACCCCAAATACATTTTTAGGTTAAGAATTGAAGAGAGGTGAGAGAAGAGAGCATTCCCAAGGTCCAGGAGCTTTGATTCTCGTTCAAGAACTTGAGAAGAGGTAAAACTCTCTATTCTAACTCTCTCATTGTGAGAGAAACCATGGAAACTCACCCTTTTGAGTTATGGTTCGTTTTATGAGATTTTATCTTGTAAACTCTTAGTATAAAGTTAATATTTCAAGAAAGGAGAGGGTGTGTGGGGTTAGTCATGAAAACCCCAAAACCCTAAAGAGAAAATGGGGTTAAAATGGAAAATGGTTAAAATGCTAAAGGTAGAAGATGAGTTTACTTTCTCATGTTGAAAATATGATGAATATCTTGTATGGTTAAATAATGCAATATAAGTTGTTTATGTGATATTTGGTATAAATGACAAACCTTGTGTTATATGGTGGGATGAGGAAAGATCCTAAAGTTGGAGGCGGTGTCAGTGGAACTTGAGGAGTTGCCAAGAACCCAAACCCAACATTCACCGAGGTAAGAATAAGTCTTTAACTTATGCACTGTGATAGAAAATGTGTGGATTTTCTGATATGGATGACGAAATGAAGCGTAAATCACTTAGTTGTTATAAACATATATGGGTATGTTTGTAACAACGAAGAGCGAATTTACCGTTTATGTATTGGTAGAGTACCAATGGAAATAATACTTGGAATAATACAATGAAGCGTAAATCACTTAGTTGTTATAAACATATATGGGTATGTTTGTAACAACGAGGAGTGAATTTACCATTTATGTATTGGTAGAGTGCCAATGTAAATAAAACTCGGAGTAATAAAATGATTCGTAAATCACTTTGTAGTTATAAGTATATATGTATATGTTTGTAATGATGTCGGGTGCATTTACTGTTTTTGTATTGGTGGAGTGCCAATGAAAATAAAACGCAGAAAAATGTATTGGTGGAGTGCCAAGGAAATAAAACTCGTTTATAGCCGACCATGATTAGTTAGCGACTTTGGCTCAAGTAATGTAGCAAGCTTTGGCTCAATCAATTTAGCAAACTTTGGCTCAAGTAATGTAGCAAGCTTTGGCTCAAGCAATATAGCAAGTTTTGACTCAAGCAATGTAGCAAACTTTGGCTCAAGTAATGTAACAAGCTTTGGCTCAAGCAATGTAGCAAACTTTGGCTCAAGTAATGTAGCAAACTTTGGCTCAAGTTATGTAGCATAGTTTTCAAAAGTATGAACGTTGAAATTGGCTTTTAAGTATACTTGATTTTAAACCGTTTATTTAACCTCATTAAATGTGGATTAACTTACATTGATATTTGTTGAGTTAACGACTTATTCATTTGTGTTTCTTGGTGTATTGTCAATGTTAATCTCATTGCAAGTAGGTGGAAGGAGTATGAGTGTTTTTGATTAGGAGCTTAGAGACTTTTATTTTGATGTCTCTTATCCATTCTTTTGTAATCTCGTTGGTTGTACTTGAATTAATCATTTTGTAATTATAAACCTGATTGTTGTACATGACATTAATCATAGAAACTAGTAACTCGAGATATATGTAGCTATGGGTGTTTTGGAAACCCATAGCTAATTGTATGCGGCCGTTACTAAGTTACATTAATACGAATTATGTTTTTCTGCTATCTAATTTGGTATGTTACTTTTGGTTTATAGATTGGGTTTGAGGAGGGAAGTGAGATCTTTTAAATAAGTTCATTTACTCGGTAATTATAATTATCGTTAAATGCATGAAATTGGATTAAATAAGGAAAAAATTTCAATGGTAGAATTTGGGTCCTTACATAGGGCACTTAACAAGGTCACTATTCCTAACAAATTCTCTATTCCCCTGATTGAAGAGTTATTAGATGAGTTGGGTGGAACAAGGATTTTTTTCAAGCTGGATTTGAAGTCTGGTTATCACCAGATTAGAATAAGGTCAGAAGATGTGGAGAAGTATGCCTTCGAAACTCATGAGTGACATTATGAGTTCTTAGTCATGCCCTTTGGCTTGACCAATGCACCTTCAACCTTCTAATCCCCGATGAATGAAATTTTGAGGCCTTACTTGAGGAAATTCACTATTGTCTTCTTTGATGATATATTGGTTTATAGTCCAGATTTGACAAGTCATGGCCAACACCTAGGTATAATTATTGCTCTTCTTGTGGAAAATTCTCTTAAGGCTAATTTGAAAAAATACAGCTTTGGGCAAGTTAGAATTGAGTACATGGGACATGTTATTTCCAATTGGAGTGTGGCTGCTGATGAGGCTAAGGTTGAAGCTGTAAAAACTTGGCCTCAACCTTCAAATGCCAAAGGTTTGAGAGGATTCCTAGGCTAGACAGGGTATTATCGAAAATTTGTGAAGGATTATGGGAGGATTGCTAGACCCTTGACTGGCTTGCTTAAAAGGATGCTTT